TCGGTTCCTGGAGATACAGGTAGATGGTGATAACAACCACAGTAAAGAGGGAGAAATACCCAACTACCCCTGATGCTGGGATAATACCACCACAGATTAGATTAAAACCCAAACAAACAACAAAAAACACAGCTGGCAGCAAAGAGACTGTTTTCCTTTAAGATGTTATCAAAAAAAAGCCCAGATCTGGGTTTGTCATTTTGACCTTTTATGGTGTTTCAGTCATTTGGTGCCGGCATCTGCTCCTCTCTGCCCTCCAATCTGAGCTCTCTTAATTTTGTATTCCCAGGCGCTCGTACGTACACACAGCTGTTCACTATTATGGCCACTTATGACGGCGCTGCGTCTCAACCCGCCTCACACGCAGGAAACTGAAGAAGTCCAACTGAAGAAGTCCAACTGAAGAAGTCCAAATGAAGAAGTCCAACTGAAAAAGTCCAACTGCTCTGACTTGGAGCACGACCGAGTGGAAGTTTTGGGTTTTATTTATTATTTATTAGTGAAGTATTTAACTGATACTTCAGACTCCAGGTGTGATTTGTTTGGACGTTTTCTTTCCCGTTTCGATTCATGTCAGAGCTGCAGCAGTTTTAGCCCCACCCCCAGATGCTCTCATTGGTTGAGATAAGTGATGACGCCAGAGAGACAGTTTCTACTAATAATAACACAAAAATCAGTTATTATCCATGAACTTGTTTAACCCTGTTGGTTGTTTGTAGGGTGTCGTTTTTATCTATCATTTCTAGGAGGTAGGCCTAAAACCTTAGACCCACACCACCCTCCCACCCCCGGTGAAGTTTTTGCAGATGTGTGAATTTCACCTTCAGGTTAAATCACATGACAAAACAAAGGGCCTGAACTTTATAGTAATTGGTTCAATTCAGGATGATTACAATCTCTGTGAGCCTCTAAAAGTCAGTCGGCGTTTGTGCCTGGAACACAGATAAAAAAGTGCAGGCTGGTGTTTAGTACAGCTGTGGCAACAGCACTTAGTGATGGACCACATGCTAACAAGAACAAAGGCCTGGGGAGGGGGGGCTGGAGGGGTGGGGTGTGTTTGTAAAATAGGAAATCACACCCCACCCTCCCCTGTCTGCTTCACATCAAAGTTACGGCCTCATTTTCCAGGCGACTAAAGGGAAACACGTTGAACGGAGAGAAAAGGACCAGAAAACGTCAACGTTGACGCAGTTTTTAGTGGTTGTTGGCAACTGTTTACTGACAGTTGTCTGACAACCCAACGACTGCCGAGACAGGTCAAATATGAACACAATCTGTGTAACTGTGCACAAATACTTCATAAAAGTATTTCTCCAAATTTAACACCGGGTTATCAATAAAAAAGTTAAATAATATCATGCAATTTTTAGCAACAATTATTTTTTTTCCCCCTGATTTATGTTACATTTAGACAGACAGTAAGTTCAAAAGTGTTGTTCACAAATACATCCACCGGGGGCAGTGTTTCACTTTGCTATCTTCTGACTCACGTTTCAAATTTAAACGTTCTCACCTGGGTACGACTGCTGGGGCTCACAGCTCAGTTCTCCGACACCGTTGCCGTAGCAGTAACACTTGTACAAGATCCCGCGAATGACTTTGTCCCAGGATTCTCCGATCTGATAGAACGCTCTGGTCTCCGGCTCCTGGCACTGATCTGTGGGCAGAGTAAGACGAAACCAAATGACGCAACTCAGTCCTCGCATCGCGGCCCCAGCAGGGGCACAGCTGCTGCTCTACTAAAAAATATTTACCCACGGTAGGGGTAAAAAAAAACGTGACGAGTTAATGATCGTGAAATTATATTTTTACGTCGATGAACGTGGAGGACGTCGGGGACGTGACGAACTCACCGATCGCGTCACACTTCCAACGACCACGTCCTTGTCCAAAACAGGTGCAGTTCATCATGTAGCCCTCGTCGTGTTGTTTGGTGAAGGTCTGGTTCACGTCGTAGGTCAGACCGTCCACGATACACTGGTCTGAAACGGACGGTCAACGGTTTCAGTCGTTCATTTGACTCATCACAGACGTGTGTGTGAGAGTGTGTGTGTGTGTCGCAGGTGCAGTAAGTGTGCAGGTGTGCTAGTCATGACCTTTCACCTCTTCACTCAGAGAAGACTAATTTCACCTTGTAATTACTCTGCCTCACACAAAGATGGAAACACTGAAGTAAACCACACACACACACACACACACACACACACACACACCTTTAAGCTGGGAGAACGCCACACAGTTCCACTCTCCTCGGCCGTTGCCGACGCAGGTGCAGCGCATCATGTTGTGCAGAACCTCGTGTTGTTTGTCCCACTGGTCTCCCACCCGGTACATCACCCCCTCACTGGACGTACACACCTCTTCATGGGCTGAAACACCACAGAACAGAACAGAACAGAACAGAACCGAATTTCTTCCTGAAGAAAATATGGCACTACACATATTCTTGTTCTTCCCACCGATGAGAATGAAATGAAAATCAATGAAAATAATTTCTTCCCCACAACGTGTATAAATGACAAGGACAGATGAACGGACGGTGGGATTATTGTATTTGACATTCTGAATTTTTGAGCTGATTAATCAGAGTAAATGCATTAATTGTCATGTGATCAAACTGTAACAATGGGATCAATAATATCCTTCTTTATACGTCACTCAAACCAGCGGCGATGAAATTTGGAAACATTGAATGAAAAGACTTTGAGGAGAACGACAAAAACGGTGAAAACTTCTAATTAAACCAAACTCCAACTCCAACACAGAAAAGCACCGTTCTCTTAGTGGATCTTTTTGATTTCACCCTACGATCACGACAGGAGTCACGGAGGACACGGAGGACACGGAGGACACGGTCGTCCTGGAACACCTGTGAACGTCAGTAGAAACAGCTGTTTGATGAATGACTGTTTGTTGGCCACGTGTTCTGGGTAATTAAAGAGAGAGTGGTTCATATCAGGAAAGACAGGCAGGAACATGTCGCCCAGGAACGTTACTGTGGGGGGGGGGGG